TTTTACAGAGCACATTCAAGCTCAGATTTAGTGCTTTAATTGGAGCAGTTGTTCATTTGAATTTAGCGAGTGACACGCAACATTGTGAAAGTGCCAAAGTCATGACTGCATGACACAGAGAAAATGAACTCCCAAGAGCAGCTTCTCTCCACTTCTGCCCTCGAGTTTGTTGTTTTTACTCGCTCTCCTACAGTAATTTCAGAGCTAAAGAGATGGAACGACAACTCAAAGTGTGAGACTGTGGCTTTACGACTGGAATCCATCATCAAAGAGCAATTAAACAGTAAGTGTTGCTGATTGGGCTTGAACGGGGCACAACGTCGGAATTATCCCTGTCCTCGTGCTGCCATCAGAGGGCTGGACTCGAGGGGTGTGGAATTTCCAGACTGTGAAAGGTTAGGAGGCACCCGGCGAGAACGCCATTGTGCCACCACAATTAATCACAGGATTCAACAGCGCAAATATGACATTTGATGAGCCGGTGTGAACGTGGTGCAGATACACAAGCTGTGTTTGTGTATAAGACGGTCAAAATGAGGATTCCTTCGCCTACTAAAATACAGCTGTCTCAACATGGGGAGTCTGCCATGGAGCATGACTTCATGCATATTTCAGAAATTATAGACATAATGATCTTGCTCAATACTTCAATACTGTGCTCAGAGGTGTAAATAGTACCTAGAGGTGTAAAGAGTACAGATACTTTACAGTAAAAATGACTCAATTACAAGTTACAAGTCACCAATTCCAATAGGAATTGAGTAAAAGTCTTAGAGTATCTGATTTTAACAGTGTTTTGCTTGTACTGAATGCAGGTTTAAAGATGCACTAGTCCTCAACACCTAAGAGACAAGTTTGCCATTGGAAAACAAGAAACAGTTGATTTGTGAGGAAAGCGATCACGTGTTTATTTTTTAAGATCGAAATAAAACTGAACACCTCAAAATTGCAATAAATCAAGGTCGACACAACAGCCTCTTAAACGTCTACAAACACTCAAGTCTCAGTTAAGCTCAAGTGCTCAAAAAGGGCTTAAGTAAACCAATATCCTTCAAAAAGCTCTCTTCAATATAACAAATAAATAAAATAATGTTAGGTACAATTCAATATCCCAAGCCTATTTGCAAGTACGCAATGACCGCCATGACCAAGTTTGTTTGGTTTTAGCATTGGAAGGCAAGCGTAGTATGACCAATAAGTTTCCGCCTGTTCTAGCAAAACATTACACGCAGAAGACAATATTCCTCCGCCCAGGCGAGCAACCACCAAGAAAAGGTGTTAACACCAATTCTCGCCCAGGACAACTGGAAGCTGCTAGGGACTGGAAGATGCTGGCTGATCTTGATCAACGGCTTATTTTTCCACCTGAGATTGCCACCACTAACCTACGACCAGATATTGTTTTGTGGTCTGGATCAGCACGCATTGTTCAACTGATAGAGTTAACAGTGCCATGGGAGGATGCGGTAGATGAGGCATATGAGAGGAAGAAACTGCGGTATGCTCATCTGGCCACTGAAGAAGAACAGCGAGGATGGAGAGTCCAGGTTTATCCAGTGGAAGTGGGTTGTCAAGGTTTTGTGGCACACTCTACAACCCGGTTCCTCAGAGACGTCGGATTCAGTGGCCAAGAGTTGCGTCGCACAGTAAAGAACTTATCTGAAGCAGCAGAAAGGAGCAGCAACTGGCTGTGGTTGAGACGGAAAGATTCTAGCTGGCTGTGTACAGGCCGCCACGCTACGGTTTCGTAGAATTCTTGAAAAACTTGAAGAGTCTGTTGGTTTATTTGTATAGGTTGTATAGTATTTACAGTCATTACGTTCCTGTGTATATTGCGTGAATGACAGGTGGTTGGGCAGATATTGTGTTTTGCGGTAGGTGGTATGCCATACGGAACCGTTGCCACTGAAACTGCATTAACGCACCAGTGGGGCTCGACAGCCTTAGTCAAACGGGTTGGCGCGTATGGTTGGGTTGCGGAGAGATTGTGGTTAGGTCTCAGCAGCAGGAGGGATGTAGAGGTCAGTAAGCTGGGCTGAGTTGAGTGGGGGACGGAGGGGGGTGACTCTGGGACGCCAGAGTCACTGTCGAGCCCTATTGAGGTGTCGTGGGCTAGTCGACGAAACACTGAGGACGGAAGGTGCCCACTTGAAGACCCTAGAGATGTCCCCTACTCGGCTCAATCCAGACGGTTGTCGTGCTGGTCCACTAGGGAGACCACACTGTAGTTGCAGCCGTCGTGTGTGCTGACGCGCCAAGTACACTGCAGCCGTTAACGCCGGACAGAAGGGGAGTCACATCACCATATGGAAAGAAGCGTAAATGGATGGAGAAGCATAGTTTACTGTAAAGCTACGTCTTAGTGTTGCTTATCTTGGCGAAAGCAGAGTACAAATCAGCATGAAGTTTTAACATCTACTCTCATGTAATGGAAATCATGCACTGTACCTCATCTCATATATAACACACCTGTGATTCACAACTACCTGCTAATAATAATGCATTCACAGTTGTTGTGTTTTTGGCGTATGCCTACCATCACAACGTCATTGCCATAAAAATAAAACAATGCTGATATTCCGGAAAACGAAAAAGCGGCATGGGCACACAAGTCGGATCTGAACAGTTGCGATACACAGTGTGGACGCCAATAATTTTAGATCAGATCAGATTTTGTCACAAAATTTTTCAGTTTTGTGACATTAAAATGATGATTACCACCCAAAATAAAAACTTCATAGTCACTGTCGAGCATCTTTATTTTATTTGCTCACTAAAGTCAGTTTTATTCTCATTTGGCACTTATGAATATATATACTCTGTCTCCACAGGGAGCATTTTAAGACGCACTCCCAACATGTTCCCAAAAAAGCACTATGATGACGTCTAAGATGGCCTGTTCAGCCAAAATCGAAGGAAAACATCACAAACATCCTCTGGGGAGAATACAATCCCAGTATGCATTAAATCAACTATGGCAGACAGGAAGTGTGAGAAATGTTAATCATAAATAGAGCCTCATTCAACACTGAATAATTATTTACAAATATTTTGATGTGCTTTTCATTTCATGCTTTTAGAACAATGCACTGTTAACTTATATTATATATTTTTTGTATATTTATATTGACATATTTATTAAAACCAATCACATCAAAGTCTCAGTAAGTTTGTGCTGTTGTTTTTTTGCATTGCTTCAAAATTTATGGAAGGCATTTTCTGCCAATTTTAAACAAATCAATTAAATGATAAAATGAAAACTAAAACCAGATTAACCATTTCATTATAGACAACTGTGCTTATGTCAATATTCATTTAACATTGACAGAAAATGCCTTCCATAAAAATCAACTACAATAATACAGTAAAAAGCGTATTCATGTAGCTTTTATCTGTTAATTCTAGGTGTTGTTTTGTCTGTTATTTATAGTCTCCTTCTTTAAGGCTCATTAGTCATCAAATCCTCTGTACACACTGCAGGTGTTATGAAGGTTGCCGGTACGGATGTTCAGCTTTTAATCTCGCCAAGCTGAGTGCTTACTAAAAAATAGCTCACAGATCATCATTTCAAGTCATCTCAAGTTCATTTCAATTCTGACGTGACCAAGCTGATACCTATGCAGACAGCTTACAGCAAGGCAAGTCACTGAGTTTCCAAATTCATATTTAATAAATAAAAACGAATCAGACAGAGAGCAAGAGCACCTTGATGCTGCTCCCGATTGGGCCAAAGGCAGCCTTGAGAAGCAGGCTGACTGAAGACATCATTGTGAACGGAGTAGATGTCATGCTTATGAGCGTGAAACTGCAGGCAAGATGGATGGTGGGATATAAATTAGGAGTCAGCAGGGTGAAGTGGGCGGTCGGTCTCTCTCTAACAAACCTCCACGGTTCTGTCAATCAAACAAGCGTCCCAGCGGACTGTTCGTGGAGTCTCATTCATATTGCACACAACAATGGTTAAGCTCTCTGAAATGGCCAGTTACAATCTGGCTTTACTTCCAAATGAACCTTTTACAAGCTTTCTTTTTCTAGAAAAATACTGATGACATGATCTTGTTTGCATTTGCATGGTTTTAGCTGTGACCAGAGGATATTGGATCCAGTGTATTGGATATTTAAAAAAATATAATTTCATATAGTATTACATATTATATTAATTACATATAGTATAATTATTATAATAAAAAAAATATCCAATGTATTGGAAAGGCTGTAGAACATGTCAAATGTAAAATAATTTAAAGGGATAGTTCACCCAAAAATGAAAATTCTGTCACTCACGATCGCGATTAATCGCATCCAAAATAAACGTTTGTGTTTACATAATATATGTGTGTGTATTGTTTATAATTATTTTGTATAAATACACACATGTGCATATATATATATATATATAAAATGTCAGTCAGACAGTCCTTCCTATCTAAGTATTTGTTGAAAACAGAAAAACCTGGACCAATGAAAGTTTTTTTTGGATCAGAATAAGCTTTGGAGCTCAAAAAAATCTGGCTACGCAAGACTAGAATAAGGACCCTACGAGACTAGAATGAGCAGAGAGAGAAGGCAGTGAGATGGAAATTGGATGTTAGTGCCAGAAGAACGAATTCAAATTGATTCTCATGTCATAAGAGTGATACTGCATGAGAAAATGGGTTTATTTCAATATGACCAACTGTAAAACGGTCTTCAAATATCAATCTGGTTTGTGTTTACATCATCGTCCCTTGACGCTTTTGCATTCTGTTCTTTTTAAAGCGACCGACTGTGTCACGACCTCTGTGTAACGGTCGATTATAGCTACAGTCCACGGCAGCGAAACCTGATCCAATCTACTCGATGCATCTGTGCCACAGTCAACCTGCCAGCAAAATACTCCTTCCATACTTCAGCCGAGATCCAATTATTAGATTGGCTCTCAGCACAGAAAGAGCTGACCACATGTTTATTTGAAACACCTAATGGCTTGCAATGAAATGTTTAATTCAAACGCCAAGTACCTTTCCACATTATCCAGGTTTCCGGCCACTCCGAGTCCTCCAATGGCGTAAAGCTTGCCGTCGTACACCACGCTGTTGTGCCGGCACCGCGGGACTGTCATCCGAGACACAAGATTCCAATTATCCAGCAGGGACATGTAGCACCACACGTCTGCCAGCGTGACTCCCGACTCAATGCCACCTAAAGAGGGTACAAGCCCAGGCAAATGAGTGCTGAAGTCTCCATTTACACCCTCCGACATCACAGCTTCATTAATACAGATCTGAAGGAAAGATGCATAAAAAAAAAAACACTCCACACTCACATCTTCCTCTCTCTCTGGGATTTTAGTTGGTTCCAAAAAAAAGACTGTTTTAGTGTCAGTTTAAGTCATGGCATGATAACTGTGTTGAAATGACTTTGAGAAATGACTGAGAACATTTGATTATAATTCAAAATTTAAGGCAGCAACTGAACATAAGTTAAGTTAAATTAGGGCAAATAATGGGTTAAAATAATGGGCAGACGTGCGTTGTTTGTAGTGTTTAATAATAAACTGAACACTACACCTGCTTAGCATTTCTGATTCTTTATTGTTATAAAAAAAAAGAGCCGCTTGAAAAACACATACAGAACATATATTGCCGTAATATATTTATTTGGCTTCATGTTTCATCTGTTTCTCTCAGTTGTTTATGTGCAGAACTCAGAAATGAACACAACATCATCATTCAGAAGGGCAAGGAATTATGATCACATAATATGACTGACAGCTCTAGAGCAAATGAGCTCTTTGACTCATAACAGACACGCACGGATGAAAACCGCTCTGTGCGCTGTTTCAAGCTCTTCAGATCGCATAATTCAGTGGAAAATGAATAGAAATTATAATAGATCATAATAAAGAAAATGTTCGAATAAATCTGTTCTCAGACACCAATGATAACACTTAACATCCATTCTCTTCTCTCGACCGGAATATTTCGGTGTTTACACAGGTTTTCAAAACAGCGCCACCTCGCTCAGGTAAGCTCAAATCTAATTGGACGGCTCATTTCACCGCGGGGTGATGGGGGAAAAAATCGACACACTGATATTAAAAAAATCTCCCTTGTGATTGATCGCGGCAGGTGTGAATAGCTCCCATAGGGATCTACTGTTTCGATTGAAGATCGTCATTGCGATGTACATTTGCGTTGTTTAATCGCACTCAGTGTGAAAGGCCCTTAAATGTTCAAACTTGGTGTTGTTTCAGAACACTTGAAAAGTTTATCATGTAGCGTGACATGCTAAACATTTTTAAACCGTATTTAGCTAATTCTGTTACAGTTACGTTACGTTATTCATGCAGATTTTGTGATGGAATATTTGTCACACCCCAGGATCATATAAAATGAACTAGAGAAGAAGGTGATTAAAAAACACCTTTAAAGCATAACAGGAACAGTCTGTTCACACTGTCAGTTTTTGGGAGAGACAACATCATTTACTTTCTAATTATCCCGATCAAACAGTAACTTATAGTAGTGTCTCGAATACTAGAGACAGGGCTCCAGACTAACATTTGAGAGCAGTAGCACTGAAGTTCAACAGATGGTGGCGCTGGGGGAAAATGTATCATTAAGTTAATTATCATATAATTACTATTGTTTTGCATTATTAAGTGCAATAATACACAAAGTGTTATTTTTCCTGAAATTTTTAGCTTTACAAATAATCATTAAAAATAACATTAAAATATTTAGGGCTTTGAAGTGCTGGAAAAAGTGTGAAGCACTTAAAAAGTGCTTGAATTTCACTCTTCAGCGCTTTTTGATCTGACATGTGTGGTTTATAATAGAATTCTGCGCCGAATTTGAATGCTTCCTACTAGATCTCGCTGCGATGTTATTAATTCTGCGGTGAATTCAAACGCTTTCTCACTGGTTCTCCAGTGCTGTGTAGTAACGGTGCCGCGTGATTAAGATCGAGTAAACCTGTTCTGAATTCGTTCTGCACTGTCTATTGCTCTGCACTGATAAACGGTCTGCGTAGCGCAGCTTAAACGAGAAGCGCTGTTTCGTATATCACTTTCGTTTCGTTTGCCATTTGATGTTTCTCAAATGTAACAGAAGTTGCAGCTCTTATCAGCAGACCGGCAGGTTTGGTTTGGTCGTAGTCTTAAAGGTGCTGTATGTAACTTTTTCACTCTACTAAAGCATAATACCATAATATGTTTGCATATATTGAGGAAACATGCTAAGTTCACATACACGTTTCTCTGAAAACACTTCTACAGCCAGTTATTTTACTTTGAAATATGCGTTTCCTGTCTGGAATGTTTGTTTTTGTTTTGGTCTGTGATACTGCACGTTGACAATTTGCCAATTTTCATTGTCCATTGCGCTCGTTCCTGTTGTGCTCCAGTGCTCAAACTGGCAACCCGTGTGAGTGCTTTCGAGTCTAAGGAGCAGGTGGCGGGAGAAACGGCGATCTCCGATATTTTGAATTAGACTGCAGTACCTATTTCGACCAACTATTTCCGTCATTCTTACAGACTGCACCTTTAAGCAGCAGCTGCTGATGGAATGACAATGGCGACCGAAGTATACTGTTAACTGCCGTAGCCAAAGAATGCTAAAAACACTAAGGCCCTGTCCCAAATGGCACACTTCATATGCACTTTCGTTCTTGTGGACTTACAATGGCTGCTGCGTGCACGTGTCTGTTAAGTCCATGATAAGTAGGGTGTCCCATTTGCCATTTTAGGTTTCAGAAGCTTTGCGGTCGATATGCGCCCTCGATGTGCACTTTTGCCGAGCCCGCAACGATGCTAGCTCCGCATCAGACTTCTTCCCGACAGTCAAAGAGGCATTGCATCATGAAAGTGTGGACTCGTAGGAAGACCGCGAGTGCTTAGGACAGGGCCAATGCAACAAACAAAAAAGGAAGGCGTAATGGATCATTTAATCATTTGAGAAAGTAAAAAAGAATGTAATTTAAAAATGACAAACATGCAAACACAAAACTGACGAGAGCATCTCTGGTGGAGGACAGTGACTGGATTGTGCACACATCGACATCAAAGGGGGCTTGAGCACCTGCCCTTTTTCTTCCTCAAGAGAAAGTGCCCTTTTTTCTGGGGTGCTTTTTTTTTAATGAATAACGAAGATCAATTATACGTGTCTAACGCCCCGTTAATAATTTGACCACCTGCAACGCATCTGCCTGATTTGATACTTATGCTATTTTATACGTATAATTTCAATTATTTTAATGTGCTATGCATGGCGTTTTGAACCATGGTAAATATATCTGTAGGGCTGTCAATACCAGCAGTGGCGAATTCCATGGACGAGAATCCAAGAACCGCATTATTATACAGTTTTTTAAGGCAGCACGATTTATTAAAACCATTTAAAAATCATAATACAGCTTTGCATAATTTTATCATTTATAAACCTATGCTTACACAGGAGAATACAATATGTTATGTAATCAATATGTTTCTAAATATGCAAATTTGGTGCGTTCAAGTCCTCCTGGGAAGTTCGTATTTACGAGAGCAGGTGAGTTAATGTCACTTTCGTCGGAGTAAGATGGCGGCGTACTTTCTCTTAATTAATTACACAAAAATACAGCAGGGTTTTCTATTTCTCTATTTCTGGAAAATGATCTCCGTCGCTGTAAGTTACAGAAACCACACATGAATACCAGCAACACACAGTAGACACATGTTTGTGCAGTGCAGAGCGGCTCTTTCTCTCTGTATGACGTGACAGACTAGTTGTTCAGTCTAGGTCTGTTCACACAGCACGTTTTCCGAAAATGCGGTTGAAAATGCGAGTTCAGAAAATTTACTGGTGTGATTTCGGTTATAGAATGCGGTTGTCATTCCTGTAAATAACAGTATGTGTGAACGTAGCCATATTATGGACTCAAATAGAGGACTGACTACATTATTCTGCTGCTGTGTGAACGTGGCAATATACTTTCCTTTATGCCATTATCTAAAATTAAATCTTAAAATCTTGATGTCTATGGACCAACAACTCATATAAAGTTGTCCCTAACAAATTGCTGTTACATCTTTAAAAGCATCGTCTTTCCTGCGCTATTGATTTAATCTTGCTTGATTTGTGGGATATTTAACATCATAATTTGACACGCAGCCAGTCCTGAAGACAGACGAGGAACTGCCATCTGCTTTCCCATCATCCCTCAGAGCGTGCAGTGCTAAATATAAAAGCAGACACCTGCGGGAGGCCACCAAACTGCAAGTGACACGCTGTCGGTTTGATTACCTGACAGGTAGATATTATCCCCCGCCGATACGACGGAGAAGAACTCGCGGTTGTAGAAAGGCAAGCTGGCCAGGGGGTACCACTTGTTGTTCTGAGGGTTGAAGCAAGTGACGGCTGTCAGCGAGCGTTGGTTCATACCGATGACCTGCCGCCCACCCACCAGCACGATCACCTCAGCGACACCTGCAGGGATGGGACGGAGACACAAAAACATTTGACATTCACTAAAATAACCTGCTGAAAGCCACTGCTCAGACCTGTTTGGACCAGGGGCCAGTTGCCATAGCCGCTAAGAACCAATCTGACCAACTAGCAGTTAGTTAGGGCTAATCAGCCTTACTTTTAGGATTCAAGTGAGACCAATCTGCCTTTTTATGTAACTGACTTAAAAAAGTTATGACCAGTCTTAAAGAAAAAAGTTAGATGACCAACCAGTTGCAACCGGCCACAGATCACATTTCAAGATGATATTATATGGGAAGTGCTGGTGCTGGTTATTGTGGCAGGTGAACAAGCTTCACCACGCTTTTAAAAATAACGGTTCTTTATTGGCATCGATGGTTCCAGGGACCTTTAACACCCATGGAACCTTTAAAATGCACAATAGTTTCTTTATCATGGAAAAAGTTTCTTTAGAATATAAAAATTTTCAGTAACACTTTACAAAAAGGTTCATTGGTTAACATTAGTTAATGTATTAACTAACATGAACTAACCATGAGCAATACATTTGTTACTGTATTTGTTAAAGTTAGTTAATAAAAATTAAGCTGTTTATTGTTTGTTCATGTTAGTTTACAGTGCATTAACTAATGTTAACAAGATTTTAATAAAGTATTAGTAAATGTTGAAATTAACATTAACAAAGATGAATAAATGCTGTATACGTGCAGTTCATAATTAGCTCATGCTAACTAATGTAGTTAACTAATTAACCTTATTGTAAAGTGTTACCAAATTTTCTTCACACTAAGAATATAAATTCTTCTTTTTAGAAGAGGGCATGATGAGTGACCAGCCAAAACCAGCATGATGTGCAAAGGTTTACAAGTGCATGAGATAAATTAACTGGAGATTAATTCTGCAAATACGAAGCAGGCAGTGGCAAACAGTCTATTTTTAACATGCAAGTTTAACAGCAAAACAATACATTTAGTAGAGCAGTTTTTGTTCAGAGTGAAATTATCTACAAACAGAAGCTGTTTTATGATCAATTATGAATGTGTTTTCCTCTCTACAGCACATGAAGTCTCCACACTAACTGCTTATGCCACATCACTGGCCTTTCAAACTGTAATTTGTTTTATTCTGACACAGAAACACACAAAAAGACTAAAGAAAATGGAGATATAATCATTATAATGTGGTAGATAGAAAACATTCAATGTGAAAAAGGGACTTAACAAGGAAAAAACTATTTTGCATTTGATTCAAAAAAAGAAAGAAAAAAGAGATAATTTTGGGGGAGATAACAAATGTTCCCTGCTAAAAATGAGGCGTGACTCAACACAGAGTGCCAGCAAAGATGTTATCAGCATCACCACAGAGTTATCAGCAAAGTTTGACTTGACAAAAATATGCAAAGTGTATTTCTATTCAAGGAAAAGTACAGATACATTGGTATAAAAAAAGGGCTTCAGGCTCTGTTATTTTGTGTGAGCTGAAAGTACCCAACACGATCTTATCATCCAAATTAAAATTCATGACATACATCGTCTTAAAAAAAAAAAAAAAAAAAAAAAAAAGAAACAGTGGATCAGGACAGAAAGGGTCAGGCCCCTGTAACGGCAGAAAATGAAATGTCATTGTATGCCTCTTAAAACATATTTGAAAGAAAAAAAGAAGAAATACTCTTGCCTGTGACTTCAATGGCTCCTGAAAATACAGAAATGAATTATGTCTGGGGATATCTATTGTCTCTGTGTAATTCTTTTCAAAATAGTGATTCAGGAAATTGAAGGCTTAAAGCACATACTATATAAATCTCTGGGGAGATTCATCAACAATGTGTTTCAATGTGCTGTCTGTCTTGTTTTAGTATCTGATTCCCTAAAGGAATTCTGCACATAAGAATGCAAAAAAAAAAAAAAAAAAACCTTTTGAATGGTATTATGAACTCTTTCCCTGCCAGTGTTTTTTTATTAATTTTTTTTACAAAAGTTGCCAGCCAAACAAAAAATGTCATGGCCCCTAGAACATATTGTTGTATGATTTGAACATACACTATATTAAAAGAAAGAACAGAGCCTCTGCTCTACAAACAAACAACATGCAGTCTTTTTTTATTAACACTTGAATGTGGGTAAGTTTCATTATAAAAGCTTTTCGAGAAAAAAAAAAGGCTTGAGCAAATCGTATATTTGTCAAAGACTTTGTCCGGATCAGATTCAGAACGATGATTACAACATAGATGGAGAAGATTATTCCCACAACACCCCCAAACTTCACAGTCCTATACTTCTTCATGGGTCAACATTTCATTTTTTAACGTTACGCAGTTATGCTTTATAAGTTGTTAATGTTTGATGATAATGTTATTTCAATGCTTATATCACTTATCTCTGCTTCTTTTTCACCTGTGTTTTGATGCAGAGATTCTGTACTCTTTCAGAAGATGTGTAATAGCGCACCCAAACCACATAACATTGAAAACATGGATTGCCGGAAAATTCCGTCAATTAAGGCAAAGCGTTGTGTAATAAATGACAGAAAATTCCGTCAATAGCCGGGAAAGAGTTAATAGCTTTATGCAAGCTGTAAAAGCACCAAGCACTGACTGTTGTGAATAAGGCAAAATCTATAAGTCTTATTTGCATAAAAAAGGGTAGCAATTAATGCAAAAAATAATGGCAGTAACAATTTAAATACTCATGACGCATGTCTATAAGATGCATGTGCGCTTAAACACCAGATGCTAAGGTGACGCATCCAGCGGCGGGATATCCCTGCTCAAGCTCGGGTTCACAGGCATATCCTGAGAAGAAAAAAAGCTTTTGACTGGCATGAACATCTTCTCCGGTGGCAGCTCTTTCAGCTGCACGACTGCAAGTTGTGTTCCTACTTCACAACAGTAAAGGAAACACGTTCCATCCCCCCTTTTCTCCTGCAAACAAAACCCCCTTTTTCCACAAACCCTCACTGCACGCTACTACATTACAGCAGAAGCATCAATCAAACACCACATGACAGCCCTGCTCGTGTTCTGCCGTCAGCGTCCTCCAGCAGATATATGCCCTCCTTATACTCTCTCATCTCGCCCTGCATGCATGTGTTAATGCAGCATGGCAGGGATCAGGCCCGGGGTCCAAGCCCTTCTGCCGAGCGAGGGACCCTGCTGTGCCCGGGCCCTTCCTGCTGACTGTGGCATTAGAGACTCAAGCAACAGGAGGTCCAGCACTGCCGCCCCACCTCTGCCCGTCTCAGATCAGACCAATGGATTATGACATGAAAAGAATTCAAGGAGCTTTCTAGATTTAGATTTCCTCCAAAATCCCTCTAGCATGTTATCTATCAGGTTTGGGCACTAGGGGTGTAACGATATCCTCATATCACGATTCGATACATATCACGATACTGAACTCACGATACGATATCATTGCGATACTCCCAAGACATATGATAAAAGGTTAACAACAAATTTACTGTTGATTAAAATGCTAACTTTGATATTACATTGTGGGTTTAAATGAATAGGCTTGCACTTGGTGCTTGTAACCCAAGGACAATGGTGACACCAGAATAAAAATATTCATGATTCTGAAGCTGAAAATACAGAATTATTGTAGACGAATATGCTTGCACTCCGTCACTGACTAGATATATTTAAAATAAATGTAAGCCACTTTTTACTGGTAACATCAGACATTTGGCATTATCAGGACCCACAAATATTCCCCCATTGCATTATTATACAATATAATCAACATTATATATAGTAGTTTAATGTAGTACTGACACTAAAACTCTGAAAACTTGCATTTTTTCTCACACAGTAATTTTGATTTTGGGGGAACTATCCACGATACATATTGTCAGTATCCACAATACGTATTGTTGCATTTTTGTAATGCGATATATTGTGGCACGATATATTGTTACACCCCTATTGGGCACATGAAACAAAAAAGCAAAAGATCTTCTAAGAGAAAACACACCTCTAAACCTAACTAGATTAGAGAAGAGCAGCCTATGTAGAATTGAAAGGGGACATAACATGAAAAACTTTTTCCATGTTTTAGTGCTATAATCGGGTCCCCGGTGCGTCTACCAACCCAGACAATGTGAAAAGTGACAACCCAGTAACTTTGTTTTGGTAAGCTTTTCTCTGCATGCATGTCAAAAAATAAGCCCATCTGATTTCGCTACCCTTCTGACATAGGAAGGGGATCTTATTATAATATTACTGGACCATAATCTGCAAGTTTCCACCCACGGCGCCTCCATTTGGTTTTCGCAAGCAAGCAACAACAGTGTAACCAGTTCTAACGCAATGGCAAAAGTTCGAGCAAAGCATGCAAACTGTTCTGTCGTTGCTGCACAGATGAGCACAGAACACTATTTGACCAAAACATGTCACAGCTGTCTTATAAATACCTCATAGACCTGTTTCAACTTGTGTAAAAGTTAAACATGACGGCACATGCAAGTCGATGAATCAATATAACTCCACTACAACTACATAAATGTATCCAATAACCATTCAGAAACGTCCAGGTGCGTCTAAAAGTTGCAACCTCTTCCTGAGTCTCTAGGCTGCACTCCACTACTGTTATTTCTGAAATTTGACTGAAATTTGTGTGTTTTGTTATTGCCGGAGTATCCGAAGCTCAGGATCTTGACAACTTTGACAAGCTATAATAAATGATCTGGGGGGTATTTTGAGCTGAAATTTCACAGACACATTCTGGGGACAGCATATATTTATATTACATCTTGTGAAAAGGGGCATAATATGTCACCTTTAAAGTCTACATGAAATCAGAATTGACTCGATTGGGGGAGGGGGGTGATGTTTTCCCTCTTTTGCACCTCTCTTTTGAATCGCTAATACAAAAGCGGAAGTAAAATGCGCACGGACACATGGGCATTCGTAACAGATATGAATGTCCATGCGGCCGTGTGAATTTTACTTTTGCTTTCAAATTCGTGCCAATTCGGGGGTGGCAATTGCTTGAACGGTGGGT